CTTGTACATTGCAAACCAGGCTGCAAATTATTGCCACGTTGATAATAAGGGAATGTCCTAAAATGTTTCCCTGAGTGAGCTTAAAATTTTTACTCACATATTGACATTCACTATGTGGCAGGAACACCATTTTACACACATTATCTCCTAGGATTCCCACAAGGTGCCACCAGGCACATGTTATCATTATCCATTTTTACAAATGAGAGGTTGTCGGGCCAATATATTGGGGTCAGCCAGTAAATCAGGAAGACTTACCTGGTAAGTCTCTAGGGCAGTTGCCATCACACCCCCCCCTCTCCATTTGCCCGGGATTCCAGCATAGGAACCGTCCCACTTCACAAAATGGATGGAGTTGTCAGATTTAGAATCTATTGATTATCCTCCCAGAGCCACCCCAAGATAAACTGAGACACATAGAAATCCCCATACCAACCTGGTCTCCTCAGGGTGAAAGCTACCATGACTCCGAAATCTGTATCCAAACGACAAGAGTATTAAACAGAGCACGTGTGAGACTTAGAGCAGCACATCTGTCTGAGGTGGCCTCAGTCCATGTGGAACCCCAGGGCCCACGCTGCCAGGGACGCAGCTAGCCTGTCTATGGAGTTTGGGTCTCACCTATATACTTTCAAACTGTGCCATTGGGGCTAGGCCATGGGACTTCCCTGAGCTCTGGGCTCCTCTTCTGTGAAAAGTGGCAATAAAGTTAACTGCTTTTGCCCCAGGATGTTATATATATGGCCTCACTGAACCCTCATGATGATCTGTTAAGAGCCCTACAAATAGCTAATATAATGTCATGCCCATGGCTCAGTGGAGCCAGGACGGGGAAATGGCTCACAACCAGGGTCTCCATGTGATCTTCCCCTTGTGTCACCAGATTCCCCTGCTAGAATCACCTTTTCTACCTTCAGTGTGGATTAGAAGCCACTCAGGCCAGGTGGCCAAACACTAAGTTAGTTGCCTTGCTGGGTGTGACCAGTCCTCGCCCGCCCCGCTCTCCTCCCCACCAAAGAAGACACAGGGTGTAAGTTGCCTGTACACCTTACCCTCCAAAACCAGAGTCTTATTTATCACCTAGTACATTTTCAAAATTTGGCTGATATGTGAATTTCTTTATGTGAAAACTCCTATAAACTAAAAAGGCAAATTGTTTATATATTTAATAAAATCTCTTTATCCAAAAAATAAATTTCCATGTAATTAGGTCTATTTTAAAAACTAAACAAAGCCAAGCTTTACCAGGTTACCTAAAGAGCCTTGGATAAACTCCCAGTTGCCTCCTGGGAAATACCTTTTTGGGAATATCCCATCTGTGTGCTTATCTTCTTTATAAGACTGGGATATATTCATTAAAGGCACACCACCAAACATAGAAACAGCTATAACTTGGGTTTCAACAGAAGATTGTTCAAATATAAATCTATGTGACATCCTGCCTTGTCAAGGCTCTGAAACTTTTTCCCTTTTCCCCATGATCGTCCTATCACAAGTTACCTGTTCAATATCTTATTTCTTTAAGGCAATGATGCTCAACTTTGGCTGCACAGTAGACTCATATGGGGGAGCTTTCTAAAATGGTCCCCCACACTATGGTCAGATCCCATCTCAAGAGTTTGACTTCATTGGTCAGCCGTG